TCTCTCTCTCTCTCTCTCTCTCTCTCTCTCTCTCTCTCTCTCTCTCTCCTCCTCCTCTCTCTCTCTCTCCCCTCCTCTCTCGCTCTCCTCTCTCTCTCTCTCACTCACTCTCTCTCTCCTCTCCATCTCTCTGAGATCCACCCATGGTACACTACCCCACCCGCCGAACACCCCATTCTCATTTCAGGAGAACCCACCCCACAGCAAAAGGCCATTCATCCGGACCACCGGATATTTTCCTTGAGGTTCAGTAGGGTACTGATAGAACCCCAGGCATGAATACTACCCATGGTCAGACCCCACCCTTCCATGTACCCCAGCTTTATCGTCTTGACCTTGCTGGGTGAGCGAGAGAAGTCGAGCAGATGATGCTTGTCGTCTTGTCGCCTCAACACACATGAGATCACATCATGTTTCATCCCATCCCATCCCATCCCATCCCATCCCATCCCATCCCATCCCATCCCATCCCATCCCATCCCATCCCATCCCATCCCATCCCATCCCATCCCATTAAGTCACGTCACATCACACATCCCATCACATTACGTCACATCACACTTTACGTCACATCACACTTCCGATCTCCTCTGCACTCTTCTCTTCTTCTGCACTCCTTGCTTCTGCTTGAATCGCCTCTTCTCCTCTCACCCATTTATGGCCCTACTAATCTCAAATGCTTGTCTCATTTCCACTCAACTCTACCAATCCTAGCCCAACGTGTCGAGATCCTTGTCGAGGGTTGGGCATCGACCATTCACGTCTCACTCCCTCATATGCTGGTAGTACAAGTTGTTTGTGTGAGAGAGATGAAAGTCGAAAGAGCAAGGATGGCGGACAAGTCGAACTGATGCAGCAGGTGGAGGCGTATAAACCAGCTTTTGTACATCAACACAGATCAGTACACACAGCTCTCACTGCAGGTATAATGTCTGCTGCTACCTCCCATGCTCGCCCTCTGACATGGCAACCTATCCGGTCCTGTCGTCACTGCGATCGAACTTGGTCTTGTCCTCGCAGACAACCCCAGCAACCTTGACAGCAGGGTTGCAAGTGATCATCAGGGAGCCAAACATCCTGCCTGAGTAGTTCCAACGAGTCAGAGCGAGTCACAGCGAAGAGGGAGAGTCGGTGTTGAGCGCATTGATACAATGTTCCTTGAGGAGATTCGAACTGGTCATCATTTACATGACTGCGATGTTGCAGCAAAGAGGCAAACTTCGAATACTCTCGGCTAGGTTTCATCTAGTTTTCTCAAGTGCCAGATGAATATCTTCTCACCAAACCGTCTCTCAAATCACTCCCTGCCAGCTACAAGTTCCGTTCCTGCTGTCTTACTCCTCTCCACCTCCCCTCGTCTCTCTCATTCTTCTCTCCCCTCGTCTCTCCATCCTCCCTTCGCCTGATGCATTGCTGTCGCTTCGACCCTCTGAGGTGGGCTTGTCAACATTTATGGGGGGTACAAGCAGAAAAACTTTTACAAGGACAGAGGGAGAGAGGGAAGAAGAGAAGGAGGGAAGGGATGGGGAGGGGCGGAAGGGAACCAGAGAGACAGAGAGACAAGGGGACAAGGGGACAGAGACCTTGTGCTGTTTGATCCTGGATCTTGATGCCATCCCGCGATCCTTGGGAGCCCCCGCGGCGATCGCTTGTTGTGCAGGAGATCTGTAAGAAAGTAGGATGCTCAGCACAAGAGGGGGATAAGATGCTTGCGGAAACAGAGCAGGAATTGATTTTACACGGTAATACTTCGGAGAGCACCGCCATGCTAGAGCATGCCGCGGCAAGCGGGATGTCACTAGCTACTCGAATGTTCCCCTTGTTCAGGAAGCAAGTTCACTTGAGGACCTGCGGCCTGGCGTCTCTCAGCATCTCGCTCGACTACCTGCTGGGGCACAAGTCGGTGTCGATCACTGAAGGCGACATCGAGGCGGTGATCAACCAGAGCTCTTGCTCTCGTGTGAGTGAGATCCACAGCCGTGGGATGACGTTGGCGGAGCTCTCCGAGGTGACCATGGAGGTGAAGAAGAGCACCATGGCCGCACCCATCGCGTCGGAGGTCGTCCGCTTGACAGATGAAGATTCTCTCCGATCTCTACTCACCCAACACCTGGCATGCCCAAGGGCGTCAGCCACCAGCGCTGTCATCTGCAACTACAGCATGGCGGTGGCGGGTCAAGGTCACTGGTGGGGAGGTCACTTCTCCCCTGCAGCAGCGATGGACCCTGAGACAGATCGCGTGCTCATACTTGACGTATGGATGTTCACGCATCCTTTCTGGATAGAGATCAAGAGACTCTACAATGCCATGGACACAGTCGACAAGACCTGCGGTGAGAGGCGAGGAGTCCTAGTGCTTCATGCTACCAGGGAGACATGAACCAATACGGAGAGATAGGGCATTAGCTTCATCGTTCTGGACACTCTCACTCTCGATGTCTATGTCATCTTTCCGGGTGTCCGAGCATGTGCACAGGAGTTCAGTGACTCTCCGTCAGACTCTGAGGATCTGCATCTGTTGTCCGAAACCGATGGCAACCCAATCCGGCTGAGAGGCAGACCACTGCAACAGCAAGCTCAGTAAGGAGAAGGAGAGAAGAGCCGGCAAGACCTGAAGTTGATTGATCTCACCCATGGCCTTGTAAGCAAGGATAGGATCTGTGAGAAATGTCAGCCACACGGCCGATAGCGTCCAAGGCTATTGCCACCTTCAATGGCTCGAGGAAGCGCTTGCAGGTCCCAGATCAAGGCATGTGCATCATCGCCGGCTACATTGGAGTCACTAATACACCCTCAGACGAACAGACGAGGTACCCGAGCAGATGTGGCAGTGGGAATGCGGTGCCCACGCGATAGCGTTGACACTCTGCTCATGTCCTTGGAGCTCCGCGACAGGGAGCGAAGGAACTCTGATGCAAAAACATCAGTACAACCACCGAATCTACACACCTAGGCCGACCGGATGTCCAAAATGACCACTGATGTATTGTCCATCATGAAAGTGGCAAGATAATTCGTATCCTGAGACATTTGTCAAGATAATACCATGAAGTAGAGTCAGAATGAAAGTACTTGTTTGTTCCAAGCCAGACGGAGCAGAGGGGGCGCATCTGGTGGAGTTGAGCTTTCGTAAATGATTGTAGAGTGTTCCAAGCTCCTGCAAGCCACACCGTGAGATCGAAGTGAGGAGATTTAGTACATCCAACACCTGAGATCAAACAGACGGACAGAGCCGTCAGCACCAACAGACGCGAACACTTCTGTGCCGCATGCAAATGCGATGTCATAGACTTCTTTGTCGTGAGCTTTCAAGAGGTCATCGTTATCCATCATCGCTATGCAATGAAGAAGAAGATACCTATCAACTGTGTCTTAGCTTGTCCGGTCTCGATGTTCCAAACTGAACACACGCTGTGAACACCAATGCTTGAAACAAGCGAATTCGGCATACTCGTGCATGTCGTGTCGATAGAAGAGGTGCCGATGATGGACGGATCCGTATCGTTCCAGTCGAACGAAGTCAATGGAGCACAAAATTCACTGTTCTTATTCTGGCAACATCCCACAGTCAAACGTAGCGAAGGAAGTTGCCAAGACATTAGGCGACAATTTCCGGCAAGCAATTGACATCATCCGAAGTCATCGCTCTTACATTATTCAGGAGCTTCTTCATGGCCACAGAAGAATTGCTAGAAGACGCGCCGGATTGAACTTCCCATCTATCAAAAGGTCAACAGATCTCCTGCCCAAGAACCTCCTCAATCCTTACAATCTCAGGTAATCCCCAGTAGTTGCAAGCAGATCCTTTTGGGTTCCAACTTTGTCTGGGATCCACATGATCTAAACAAACATTACATTCATTTTGATCCTCTCATGTAGAACCTTGGTTGTTGGGTATGGATGATCAAAAATTGCCGTCTCCTGAAATTGACCTTTGTTCTCGTTCAATTGAATAATCTGGATGAAATGACCATCAGAGGAAAAGCTTTCACGGCGCGAATAATCTTCACCTGAACTTTGTTGCTATATTCTTCGATGAAGCTGCCAACTGCTATTCTAAATCGCTTATCAGGACGAACACTCCAGCTCATTCCGTAGATCTCCCATGGAGCTTCATACGTAAAAATCTCCTTCTTTTTCGACGCCTCACCCATTCTGTTCGGTTTCTTTTATGAAATGATAGCTCAGATGCAATTCTTGCCTTGAAGATCGAACCGGCTTGGCACAAGCTTACCGTTAAGCTAACCGTTGAGCCTCAGAGAGCAGGGATTGAAAGATTTCAACACTCAGCTGTTTCTGCACAACCTGATCTTTCCAGACAACGTCTTCAGACAAGCCTCAAGTCGTGATAACCAGGAAACATCTGCTCCAAATTTCTGGATACCACATATTTCAGAAACAACAACTACAACTTATGTTCACATCCAAACTTGCATCATTAGAGTAAGATTGAACCATAAGCATCCACACAATAACATTCATGGATCAGCTACAGTGATATTTCACAGAATGAAGAGCCTTCACAGAATCGTTCTCCAATCAAAAATCAAATCATCGACATAGTCCCGGTCGTCATTCATCCGTTCCTCACTCAAGAGCGCACAAGCGAGGAGATGATACAGGTAGTCTTGTACGCCTTTGCTACCCTCGTCTTTGACTTTTTAACTTCATCAATATGGTATAGGTTGCTTCTTCTCCCGTCCTCTCACGCGATGTGATGACCTCGCACCTACTTGAGCACTAAACCGCTCATTGCGATAAGCCTCACTGTTCAAGGGGCTGTTAGTACTGAAGCTACGATGTTTGAGATGGACCGCTCTTTTCCATTCCTTAGTTCACACAACCTCTCCCTCTCTTCTTTGCTTCTGCTAACGTGTCCACCAGGCCATGCCCTTCTCCTCACTCTGCCTCCATGCCCATACAGCCGCTCCCGCCGCTGCTGCTCACGTATCCCTCATCCCCGCTCATATTCCACCGATTGAAAGGCGCCCCTGAAGGCGCCCAGAAAGGCGCCCGGCACTGCAGAGGCGGACTCAGCCTCCGAGTCGGACAGACTCACTGAGTCAGCCCGCAGTGCCGGCTGGGCCGGCTGGCGGCGGCCGCGCGGCGCCGCGCCGGGCAGGCGGCCGGGCTCCCGGAAACCGAGGCTCCGAGCGGCCCCGGCGACGGGAGTCGAGCAGCCCGGCCCGGCGGCCGGTGACCGGGCCGGCGGTGACTGTGACTGCCCGTGACTGCCAGGCCGGCCGCCGGAGCCTCGGAGCCCGGCCTGTTGCGCCGGGCGGCGGGTACGGCGCGAAAAACCGGGCGGCACCGTACCCGTAGGGGCCGGCGGCCGCGCCCCCCCCCCCCCCCCCCCCGGGTCGTGCCTTTACTCAAAAGTGTGTACTACGGTACATGACGATGCCGGAACTGATCGGAACGGCCCGGGACCACCGTCCGTCACGGGGGGCCCGGCCACCGGTGGCGGCCGGCCCCGGCCGCCGCACTGCAGCCTCGAAGTTCTATTACTAGTGCCAGGGTGGATGTGGAGGGGTGATTTTACTAATGATTTAAGGGGTACTTGTGTGAGAGGTGATACGACCCCACCATTTCACTCCATGATGGCCGGTGGTCATGGAAGGTACCCCTTGTGTCTCCAAGCTGATACGGTGACCTGAGGGGGTGGACGAAGGGACCTGAGGGGTAGTAGAGGGTTTGAAGGGGTAGCAGCAATACGGAGGAGGTAGGGTGGGGTAGTGACATGCTGGTTTGAGCGCCGTTCTCATGCCGCAATCAGATACGAGGGGTGGAGCGATATGATGCTGGTAGATGATTGTCAAGCGACAAACATGTCGAAGTAGCAAAGTGGTCCAGTAGTTGCAGTCTGTCCTCACTTCCAGCGATCCCCAGTGAGCTTCAGATCTTGAAAAAAAAGGCTGTAGCTTCGCATGAAGCACTACGATATCACGATCTGATCGCTCCGCCAGGTTTTCCTGGTCTAGTGGCGATGCGGTAAAGACATATATCCAGCTCACTGAAACAGATGAAGCAGCGCAAAACTGCGGCGACAGCATTGAAGGTGTGTGATTGAAAATATCTGCTTGCGACGTTGTTTTTCGATTGAGATATCCCAGCATGCCCTTGAAGTTTTTACTTACAGGAAAGGGAAGGGAAACGGCCCTCGAGCTTAGCATCAGAGACCGAGACCGAGACCGAGACCGAGACCGATATCGCTGATGGGTATATGGCAGATGATCATCCGCCAAGATCGAAATCAGAAGTATTGTCCTTATGTTGCCTCGATTGCGATAGCCTCACGCAAGTGACAGGCAAATCTGAGTGAGAAGGGGGCTGGCTTGTTGAGCCCAAAGACCCCCAAGATAGATCCTCATGCAAACTTTGAGAACCTTCAAGCCTTGTCAAAGTGGTTTCCAAATGCGTACAAGGCCCCACAACAAGAAGAGTCTCCAGAGGTCATCGCAGCCCGAAAGCGACAGGAGTTCTGGACTCGGACACGATGGACTTTCGCCATGTTCATTGGTATGGTTATCATTGTCGACATTCTCTGCGGATGTCTAGCTGCTTTCTGACTTACATTCTCTACCTCCCCTGCGCAGGATTCCTGATCGTGATAGCCAGCGGCCAGATCTACGTGATGGCTCTCATTATTTGCATCAAAGCTGGTATGTTCAAGGAGATCCTCGCGTTGAAAAGAAACAAAGAGAAAGACAAGCGAATCCCTTGGTTCAGGTAATCATTTCCGCCACTCGAAATCATCCGCGCGTCTTCGCTAAACATGAAGTTGACAGAACGCTCAATTGGTACTTTTTCGCGGTTACAATCTACTTTATATACGGGAGGATTCTCCAAGGTCACATACGGGTGATCTCAATGCATGCAAAATGTTCTGTACAGGAGATGAACAATATCTCGATGCGCCATAGGTTGTGCATCTTGAAACTCGTCTGTCGTTTCTGGTGGGATGGTTGAGCGATCATCATGCCTTCAAGTCCTTTGCTTTATGGTGCATTGGATTCTGTACATTCATCTTAAGGTCTGGATCGGCTGTTTCCATTGTCTCTGAGGATACTCTGCAGTCTAGAGAAAGGGACATATAAATATCAATTCACACAGGTGCTTGCATTGTTATTCGTAATGTTGGAAAACTGAACAATGGTGTCAAGTTCGGCTGGACTCACATTACGTTACTAATGGTGGTTGCGACGGCATCATGCATGATCAAGGTTTTCGGAACTCTCTTGCACAACACCGCTCAAGTTCTGCAGAACATGTATGACGGCATGATTTGGTTCTTCGTTCCAGTGTGCCTCGTCATTTGGAATGACGTGTATGCATGTAATATTCTCGTTTCAGACAAATATAGAACCCTGACGCCTTTCCTCTCTTGCAGATGTGTTTGGGCGATTTTGGGGCAAAACGCCTCTGATTAAACTTTCACCCAAGAAGACCTGGGAGGGTTTCATTGGTATGATCTTTGATGTTGCATTGATTTGGCTTATCCTCTGTACAGGTGCATTCATAACAACAGTAATCTTTGCACTTTGGTCTTACCTCCTTCCCAGATTTTACAGGATTTGCTGACACGTTGGTTAGGGCGTGCATGCTCATGTCAACCTTTGACTACATGATCTGCTCCCAAGAGGAACTGACCGTTCAACCGTTTCCTGACCTGCATTGCAAGTATGATCCGGTATTCATCGCATCAGTGCCTGTTAAGATGTAAGCAGACTTTCTGGGTGTTGTCTTGGTTTCTTTCGAGGTTTCTGAGTGCGGCTGTAACAGACCCACATGGTTGAGTTCCCTAACTGCATTCTTGCCTGAAAGATATCAATTGGGTATTTTTTCTTTTTGTTATAAGTTATCATCTCCTTGTAACGATCTTGCAATAGGCAATGCGATGATGATAATGCCGTTTGTTTGGCACGCCATCAACATGGCAATGTTCGCTTCATTAATTGCCCCCTTCGGCGGATTCTTTGCATCCGGTACAGTATCCCCTTCCTGAAATTTTGATTCTAATCAGCAAATAGGATTCAAGAGGGCATTCAGGATCAAAGATTTTGGCGATCTTATTCCCGGTCATGGTGGCATCACTGATAGAATGGACTGTCAGGTTGGTTTAAGAATGGGAAACGAGTCAGTAGAGAGGAGGGCTGGGATTAGGAGGAAGGGTAGGCAAGAGAAGGATGTTCAAGTGATCTCTGTGTCCATTGTCGCTAAATGTTGTGAGGGCAGATCATCATGTCGGTGTTTGTTACTGTTTACCGAGCGACGTTCATTCACTCGCCGAAGCAACTCTCAGTCGCTCGAATCCTCTCCCAGGTGGGAGATATCGTGACAAGTACAGTCGCATGCTGATGCTATCGGCCGCAACAGGTGGATATGCTATCAGAGCATGACAAGAAAGAGCTCCTTCACAGGCTCCAGGTTAGTCGTTGTTCTGTTGTCCTTTCAGTCACTCGTTGAGTATCAGGCGGCGCTGAGCTGATTTCAGTCTGAGAGTTCGTTGCTCGTTTCTAGCCTACTAGTAAAGACACTCGAGGTTTCATCAACTGCTCCAATTCGAATCTCTCTCTGTGATATTCCTCATACTTGTTCTCTTCTGGTGTCACAAGTTCATTCAGAGTTTCTAGTCTGATTTATTCTGCCTCCTGCGGATTTCTGCCTCTTGTTCCAGTCTCCGAGTCATTTCAACCTGTTCCTGCATCCTAACACGCTCTTGTTCATCATCATCATCATTCTTCTTGCCTTGATCATGCGGCGCATTGATATCGATGAGCCCAGCAGCTTGTGCTTTGGTCAACTCGGTGATGAAGAAACGGACAGAGAAGAAAAGTCCTAGGGCGAGCAGAAAGAAGATGTAGGTGTGGATGTTCCCGAAGTTTGTCAACCACATCAAGAAGATGATACAGAGAAAGAGAGCGATGAAAACGTTGCTGCAACACATTCAGGGAGTCAGAGGTAGATGGTATGAGGTGCGAACAAGGATGTGCAATGAGGTACAAACACATGCAATGCACTTGCACTCACTTGAGAACTTTCTGCATCCCCGCTGACATGCTGCTCCCAGGCTTCATCAACCATTCCACAAGCCATGAACCCGCTCCTCCATCTGTCCCGCTGCTTCCTTCCCCAGCCATTTTCTTGAGGGCACGTGGGGGATGAGGCCACTGAGTACTACTCGGCTGATAGGCGCTGCCCCGGGCCCCGGCCCAGGCCGGGCAGTCCGACGATGCCAGAGTCTTTACTCAAAGTTAAGTAAAAAATCAGAGAGTAGTAGTAGTGCGGTCCCGGCCGGGTGGCACCGGGTTGAGTCCCAAAATAGTTCGGAGAGCCTGACGGCGGAGGACCCCCGAAATAACATCCGATCAATGACCGTACCGTACCCCACCCACACCTCGAGTCCGAGCACCGGGTCAGGAAGGTGAGGTCAGTATACTAGGGCCAGCAGTCACACGTCAGTGGTGGACTTCGAAGGCATCCGACTAGCCATGCCCCCCATCTCCTAGGCTGAGGACCCCCGCCCGCGCGTGAGCCCGTTCCGAGTTCAATTAGACTACCCACCCACCCCTCAATAGCCTCACGGTTATCCTAAAATCCGATGATACTACCGGTGCAGGGAAGAGGCCCGACGTCACTCTCTGACTGGGGGTGAGGTGGAGGCGCCGGAAATAGAGCAGGGGGGTATAAAAAGTGGCAGAGGGAGTTTGGAAAGGCATCCCCGCGAGGTACGCAGATGCGAGAAGTTGATATGAGATATCGTGGATATGATACACGTGGTGTTGTCTTCGTGTTATGTTCGGATTCGATTCATTGATTCATTAGGAAACAAGGCTGGTGTTGGTAAACGTGACGTGCTCAAACTGTTGCACTGCTTGTAAAACACACTTCTTGTTGTGACTGCACGCCTCAAGTCATTTTCTGTGCATGGATGTTGATTATATGTGTTGTCTTCGTCGGAGATTTGAAAAATGGGCTCTTACAAATGGTTTAGATGTTCTCCATCCTCGAGTCTGTTGCCTTCGACACCGGCTACGCTGGTTCCAGCGGTATCCAGCCCCAGTCCTGGGAGAACGGCAACGGAACCTCCTACATCTACTTCGGCTCTGGCCAGTTCGACGGACAGGGTTCCGGCCATGACTTCTACGGAACTGTAAGTCTGCGTTAAGCGCTTGAATTTTCTCACATTTTCACAGCTCTACATGCCCCCCACCGGCTACGTCAACAACTGCGACGGTGGCCGCTCCCACACCTACTGTGACTACCGCCAGGAGTAAGCTTTGGAGATGTAGAACTTTTCGCATTCGTGAAAGCGTTGCTTCTATATTAAACATGTATCTCTAAACTTTATTAAAAGCATATTTTTCATGATGAGCACATCCCTAGCGAAGTACCTGTCGGCCGTGACTGATAATCACATGCAAAAAGTAATTATCAAGAACACTCTATGTCGAGGTTGTAGCGCATTCCATTGAAGTAGTCGGGATCACACATCTTTGTTCAGGAAAAGCTGACTTGATCCAAGTGCTGTGTATGTATTTTGGAGTCTGTATAATGTTGGATGATGAGTAACATATGAGGAAATGCTCCATGTCCGCATCGGTACGTGATATTTTGCAGCCTCTTCTCGCCCTTCACAGACTGTTTTGTCTGCCAGCATGCTTGCTCTGGGCTGCCTCCTAGCTGTCGGGCTTGCTCAATGTCTCAAGATGTTACTGTTTGCACGTTGAAACTACTTCTTTGTGTTCCTTTACTGACCTTACAACCCTCTGCCACTCTACAACTGTAGCTGCATCCTGCCTCATCCCTAAGCTTCCCTACCTCTCTTGCTTTATTGCGTGTGAGTGGGTGAGCGACAGGGGAGCTCAGTCAAATCTCCAGTAGGAGGGTCGGGTATACCGGAAACAGTGTACGGTAAAGTGTATTTCTCACTGTTGTCTGAGTCTGTCCCTGTTGCTGTTTGTTTTGTTCGCACTCTTGTTTTCACTGTGTCTCTGGCTGTGCGCTGTCTACTTTTCTGTTTTGTCCTGACTGCCTCTACAATTCCATCTTTTTTCCTTTTCCTTCTCTCGCTCCACCGTCTCTGTTTGGGTTCTCTTTGAATCTCCTCTTTGGAAACTGTCTTTGTCTATGCTCCTCCCCTCTTTCGCTGTTTTTGTCTCCTTGAATCTGTGTGTGCGTGCCTGCCTGTACATTACATCTCCGATGTTCTTATGTTCACTCAGTTGCCTCCCTCGTGTCCTGTGTGTTCGCTTCTTACACAGCAGTATCCTTCAAGCAGGTCAGACACGAGCTTTCTCGAGTTGAAATTTCGTTTCTTTCCTCCGAGTCATGCCAACGTATACTCCGCTCACAAAATCATCAAGTGGTCTTCTAACATGACCAACCACAACTTTTGTTTGAGCAGCTTGCCATGCTAAGGCTCTCCCTATGCTTGCACATCCATACACAAGAACATCAACTTCCTCTAAAAGATACATATAACAGCACGATCCTGTACAGCAAGGACAGCTTTATAATCCACAGAACTCTATTTGTATGATTATTTTACTTGTAAAATCCCTCAGCGGGTGCCATGATCTCACTGTAGTGACCCAGCTTGGCCTTGAGAGCCTCAAAATATGCTTTGAAGCCTTCAGTCTTGCATAGAACGCAATCCCCGCACTTGTTAAAGAGGGGGCCAGTGTACCCGATGAAAGCAAGATCCGCAATGTTGGGTTGCTCTCCACCCAAGAATGGCCCACCACTCCTCTTCAAGATGTGCTCAAAAGCAGGCCACACATCCTCGGTCCACTGCTTCTCAGCAGCAGCCTTCTCTTCATCGGTAACCGGCCCGGCAAAGCCAACCGCTGGGTACAGGATCTTGTAACCCGCAAGCTTCACGAAGGTGTTGGCATGGAAGTCAAGAGCAAGATCGCAGAGGGCACGCTTCTGAACATCCTTTGGATACCAAGCTTCCAACCCGTGCTTGTTGCAGATGTATCTCATGATTGCCTTGCTCTCCCACAAAGTGAACCCCTCGTCGTCCATTGTAGGAATGCAGTGCATGGGGTTCATCTTGAGGAACTCGGGGGTCTTGTGAGCACCAGCCATGAGGTCGGTGTTGACAATCTCCATCTCGATGCCATTGTTCTTGCAGAGGAACTCGATGGGAATCACATTCCCGGAGATGGTAAGACCATAGATCTTGATGGGTGCCATGGGTGAGCTGATCCTTGCGGTGACCCGCCGGGTTTTAATACAATGCCTCCATTCACCCCTACCCCCTCCTTCTCCCTCAGCCCTTTTAGAGACCCCTACTACCCTCCTCTACAGACTAGTTATATCAATGTTAACCACCCCAGCGATCACGGAATTCATGACCAACGAACAGCAACGGGGTGGGGTAGGGGGTGCGCTCGCTCACGCTAGCAGGGTAGGGTAGGATGTGGAGTGTAGGGAGGTAGGGGTAGGTTGGCGGGTAGGGAGTAAATGTAGGCATGTAGGTAGAAGTAGTAGGCGTGGGGTGGTGGGGTAGGTAGAAGTAGTAGGCGTGGGTTGGTGGGGTAGGTAGGCGTGGGGTGGTGGGGTAGGTAGAAGTAGTAGGCGTGGGTTGGGGGGGTAGGGAGTGCTGGTAGGCGTAGTCAAGTCCCATTGCTTGGATGTGCAACCTTCGGAGCAGTATCCAAGTATCCTGGCCGGGAGGGGGGTGGGGTTGATAGGTAAGGGTAGTCAGGATGGGAGAATATGGGGGTTCAAGACGATGAGATTTTGGGAAATGGGGGGTAGGGTATCCTTTCCGGGGAAGTAAAAGCGGGGAACCCTGGAAGTTCTCGAACAGAGGGGGTTCGGGTGGGTTCGGGTAGGTGGATAGGAGGGTGGGGTAATGAGACACGTCATCCTCGCAGTGGTCACGGCATGTTTAAAATGATATACCTTAGAGCTAGCTAGAAGACCCGGAGTGCGCGGCCAGTCAGACTCACTGAGCCGCCGCAACGTTCCGAGTTCACGGCGGCGGAGCGGTAGATAGTCACGGTTGACCGTATCGAGTCGGACTGAGCCTAGTACAGTACGGCCCGGCCGCCGACCGTCGACGGACCGTCCGACGGCGTTGCGGCACTGATGATCCGAGCTGTCCGACCCGGTGACCGTCAGTGGGCTCGGACGGTGGCTGGCGGATCGCTCGGCGAACTTCGGAACTTCAACGCCAGTTGACAAGCCTTGAAGGAAAACCGGTGTGCACGCCGACGGTTTCCGAGTTCGGTTCCCCGGCGGTCCGATCGGTCCGTCGGGGAGTCCCGGAGTCCGACTACGACTCACCGTCAGTGTGTTCGGAACTGAAGCCGCTGAGCCTGAGCCTGTCGGCCGACGGTGGCACCGGCGCGGGCCGTGCAGCGCCCCCCGGCTGCTGACGCCGTTCACGACCCCCGTTGGCGGCCGCACTCGCGGGGACACTCACACGCGGCGGCCGGCCCCCGGGGGCCCGCCGCCCGCCCCCGGCTGGGGCGCCGTGTCCCGCCGCCGCACCGCCGGTCGGCGGGGGCGGGGCCGGACTAACTTGAAGTCTAACTCCGGCAGTAACTTACGCCGGTTATCTCATGCCCCGGGGGCCCTCCGGGGCCGACTCGTGCGGCGGCACCCCGCGGGGGGCCGGGGGCCCGCCAGTCTGAGTCTGATCCACTGGCGGGCGCCCGAGAGGCAGAGACCGTCTCACCGGGGCTGGGCCGGGGGGTCGGATGATCTGGCCGACAGCCACGGTCGCGGCGTCGATCATGCTCCCAGTCCGGTGATCAGGGCATGCCGGCTGGGAGGCCTGCCAAGGCTACTAGCGGCTACACGGCGGTGATCCGGCTCGGATTCGGCGGATGCGGCCACGGGCCCACTGCCACCGTACCCGGTGATCAAATTGCCGCCCCCCGGTGTTCAGCGGCTGGCGCGACGGGCCGCGCTGGCAAGCCACGGTGAAACGGTGTTGCCGCCGGTGAGTCACGGGAGTCGGGTGAAGTCGGCCCCCTTGGAACCGCTCAGCCAGCGCGGACGGCCGCCACTGCCCGGCCACCGTGTCATCGCTCGCCGTCACGGCAAATGCTCCGACTCGTTGGTAACTTGGAAACATAGACTAAAATATATTCAGCCCCAGCCATGCAAGTCTGAATGTCCGACCGGCGGAATTGACGATTAGCAGCTCAGCTGTCGCTGCGCTCACATGGGGTCAGTGATGATGGTACGTCGGAGACCGGACTCGGAGTCGGAGGTTCGGGCCGCCAGGCTTCATGAGGCCTTCAAGATGACTCCGACGGAGAGGAACGCTCTGGAGGAGTGACAGCCTTCTCGGTAGAAGATGGAGGAGAGGCCTGGCTGATTTGCTCGTGACTGTCGTACAGCCTGCCCGCAAAGTCAAGCTCGTCGTCGATGTCTGAGGCAGAGAGGGAAGAAGTAACGAGCTGCGAGTCGTCCTGCCCGCGGACGCTCATCCGGGGAGCCTCTGCCGCCGTCAGGTTGTGTCCGATGATCACTTGCTCCTCTGCCTCCTTGTCCTTGTCCTGTTCATCCTCCGTCTCTTCAGTGGACTCCTCCGTGGACGTCGCGAGATCGGGCGGGGCATCTTTGCCCATATAGCTGCGGAGCATCCTCTTGTCATCTTCGGAGGAGGAGGAGCTCTCTGTGAAGCTGAAGCTGTCATCCGGGTTGTCTTCGATTTTCCTCATCACTCCATCCCAGAAGGCGCCAGGGGGAGGAGGAGAGTTCCACTTGCTCCAGTCCAGGTTTCTCAGGCTGTTCTGAAAAGTTCAGCACATGACATGGGAAGGGCTTTGAGGAGAGATGAAAGAAAAGGAGGAAGCCACCAACGTCTCTAGAGCTTGCGATGGCTCGACGATGGCCAGCTCGCTCCCAGCATCCTGCAGGATAACGAATCAGAGAACGAGATGGGGATGAAGAGACAACGTGGGCAAATGTCGAGTTTCAGGGGGAGCAAGAGGGATGGTGAAGAAGGGGTGGAGGTGTGTGTGTGGGAGAAAGGGGAGAGAGGCAACGAGGCAGAGGGGGGAGAGGGGAGTTGGTTATTCATGATGAAAAAGAAACGGTACGGAGGGAACGAGGGGCAGCAACGAAATGACAGAATGAGGCAGAAGACGGGAAGCATCAAGACAAATGAGGATGGAGAAAGCCCCCCAGCAGATGGTGTTACGTAGAGGCTAGCAATGAATCGAAGGTCTTGTTCGACGGGCATGTCGTACACAGTCAACTCGTTCAAGAGGACTCCGTTCTTGACGAATCCGACCTGCAGGGAACCATCCCATCAGTGCAGTCTGCTCTTGATCAAGCTGATCACTCCTTCATGTTGTTCACATGTGCTCCTCATCCCCGCATCATCTCATCCTCTTCCCCCTCCTCCTGTCCCTGCCCCTCCTGCTCCTGCCCCTCACCTTCCTTTGCTGCAGGTCAAGCAGCACTCCTATCTTATCGCCGTAGACTGTCTCAACCGTCAAGCTGGATCGCATCGACTTGACATCTTACAGAAGTTGCGGGTCTTGTTGGGAAACATCACCTCTGGGTTTGGCATGCGCATGGAAACAGCAGTCGGGTCCCAGCCCCACTTGAGTTTTCCGTTCTGACACCAGACAACCTGAGGTGCATTGTAAGCTAAGGTTGAGCAGCCAGTGGGTTGTGGGGCAAAACGGACACAAGAGGGCATAGAGGAGGAAGAGGAGGAGGAGGAGATGGAACACAGGCGCTGAGAGGAAAAATGGAGTGACGAAGGCCATACGGAGCTGAGTTGGAAGGGGAGTTAGATATTTTGGATGAAAGGAGGAGGTGATCGCGACTGAAACGCTACAGCCTTTCCGCAACTCACAGCATTGAGCGGGAAGGTGACATAATCGAAGTCCAGATCGTCATCGCTAGTTACACCTATCATGAGGAAAATAGGGGAGCCCCACCCTTTGATCTTTTCTGCTGTCAGCGTTCTCGGAACCTCTACATCGCAGCATTCCCTTACCTCATACTCAATGTAGTTGATCTTCACCGTTTGCTCTCCGCTGGTTGTCATGGGCCGGGTAGTCCGAGCAAAGCTGCTGAACCGGACGAAATTGCTCCAGCCATGGTATTGCTCTCCTCCTCTACACTGAAGCACCTTCCCCGCCTCCTCGATTTTCTGAGAATGACAAGGTCAACTCAAAGGCGCAACCGTTGGAATGCACGGGAGGACAAAGAGAGGAGGAGCATCACCAGGTGCCGTCCAGCCGTCTCGACCTCGAACCTGAGGGGCAGCGCGTGAGTGAAAGAGGAGTTGGAACAAACCATCACCTGTCAACGCAGACTGCAGCATCCTTCCACTGTCCAAAGAACAATCCATCTACCTCTTCAAGCTCCTCCATCGATAGATCCTCCTCCAAGTCTTCTGGCGGCACCACGTTTCTGCTCGAGACGTCAGTCCCCTCTGCCACCTGCTTCCCCATGTCTCCTCCCAGTCACCCAGGGCCTGGAGGAGGGTTGAACACAGTGACACGCATGTGGGGAGGGATAGGAGCAGGCTGATAGGGAGGCAGCTGCCCTGTCGGGCCCCCAGGCAGCGACGCTTCGGATGGAGCAGCATAGACAGGAAGAGAAAACTCCTGCTGGCTTCCTCCGATGCCTCCTGCTCTGTTCTGTTGCGCCGCGTTCGGGTCCATAGAGATCCTTTGTGCTGAAGGCTAGCGGAGCGTCAAGCAGGAAGGAAAAGGAGCAGCAGAAGCAGCGAGGGGGGGTGGATAAGCTCTCTTACCTCTCTCTGCCCTCCAAACTCCATGTTTCTTCCTCCGACTCCATAAGCATTCGCTGAAAAGACCATGAGCTTGATCCTGCACGGCAAGAGGCAGAGCAAGTACAGTCTGGGATCAATGTGGATGTCTGTGTTGTCTGCGATACTTGTGAGGTCTGGCTGTTGTCGTCTTCTTGTCCTGTATCCTCCCCTAGCTCGTGCACAACTCTTCACAACAGATAAACAGTGTAAGAGGTCAAAGGAACCGAGCAACCATCCCTCGCTCACCTGTCAATACCAGCAACATCTGGTGCACCCAGCCTCTTATTTTTCTTGTTCTTCCCATCGTCGTCATCTCCCACTCCCTTGGTAATGTACTCGTCCAGCTCATCGTCATCCATGTCCGACAGTCTCTCTTGAGAGGCGATCAGAATGTGGCAGTGGAACAGGAGGAAGAACAACCTTCAGGCTCTAGCTGCTTCGTCTGCCTTCGCTTCTTCGAGGTCGCCCAGGCAAGCATGCTGTTCGCAGCCGCAGGTGAAAGAGGATCTGCCATGGCTGATGTTGCCGTGCCGAGCCTGTGAAAGCTCAGTGGAATGAAACTGACCAGCATGAGCAAGTACGCGTTCGGTTCCAAATCGTCCTCTTCATCCTCGAACTGCCCTAGAATGTCTTCAGCGTCCTGCCTGTTGTCGTTCGACCCGGACTCCTCATCTTCCTCCTCCTCCTCATCCTCATTCTCGCCATCGTCTGTATCCGAATGCCCCACTTTCTCCTGTGTGGGTTGTTTCGCTGGCCTCTTCGCTCTCCCCCCTGACAGTCGCATGAGACGGGCGGGCCTACAAGTTTCCACCCGCAGACAGGAGGAGAGCAAGTACGCATCTCCTCCTCTTGCATGTCCTCCTGCAGTATCCCCCCCCTCCTCCTCCCTTGCCATGTCTTCTCCTCCAAGTCCTCGGCATGAAAGTCGATTGCGGCAGGGACAGGCCCCGTCCTCTCGCTGCATGCCTCGCGCCCTTACTCCCGCTAACCCACGTGCGAAGGCGACTAGAGCATCCACCCTCGCCATGTCGACTCGTTTCCCGCCATCTTCTCCTCTCATAGTTCCGACCCCTCCCACTATCTCGGCCAGCACCACTGCCATCAGCACTGCCACCTTCATGATCCGCCCACTGCTCGGCGCGCGATAGCCAACCCGCCTCAAGAAAATACAGTGAACCGGTACCTCTTGCCCTATATCACACTGCTGCCCCCGTAATTTGAATACTTGAGTAAACCTTGATGCTGACCCATCGGTGGGCAAGGGACGAGGTGCAGTAGCAATGGATAGAGGAGGAGAGAGTCGGGGGCGAGGGACGGGGGCGAGGAAGAGAAAGGGATGGGGAGGAGGACGAGGAAGAGAAAAGAAAGGAGAGACAGACAGACAGTGGAAGAGGAGGAGATGGGGGAGGTGCTATTGCAGTTTTGTCATCACGCCTTTTCTGAATGTTGTTCGGTCTGATTCACTCACAGGAGCAGCAAAGGAGAGACGCTGAGGCTTCTACTTCAAGTCGCCCTCTAGCATGGCCGAGCTCAGCTTCGGTCACAACTTGCGAGCGAAGAGGAAGGAAGTCATCAACAACACCTTGAACTTCCTGCCATGGGCCCAAGGTTGCTTCACAGCCTGTGGGCCCACAGGGTTCAACAGCCTCGAGACGCTGGCGCCAGCCAACACGGTGAATTTCAACAATGCTCCAGCAAAGATGCTCGGGATCGCCCTGCACGAGTACGGATCGCCGTATCAGTTCAAGGTCCAACTCTGCAACCTCCCCCGAGAGATTCGAGACTTCGAGGTCCTCGTGCAAGTCCAGACGGTCTCCGTCAACCCGACAGACTGCAAGCTGAGGAGCGGGAGCCTGTCCCAGCTCTACCCGCTCTCTCTTCCTGTTCTCCTTGGCTGCGACTTCAGCGGCATCATTGTCAAGGCAGGATCGGCGGTTCCGTTCAAGGTCGGGCAGAAGATCTTCGGGCGTCAGGTCGGTCCTTGCACAGCGTCCTTCTCCCTGCTCCTGTCTTGGCTTGTCGCTGTCTGCTTCCTCTAGTGCTGCTGACACGATTGCTTCCTCCAGACGCTGGACAGGATCCGTGAAGTTCATGGGACGTATGCGGAGTACTGTGTGGCAGACTACCATGAGATCGCTGAGATGCCGGAGGAAGCGAGCTTCGAACAGGTTGGTGGCGAGAGAGTCAGGCAGGGAGGGAAGGAAGGAGGGAGATGAAGGAGGGAGAGAAGTGAGAGGATGGAGGGAGAGAGGAGGAAGTGTTAACTCTTGCTGCAGGCAGCGGCTGTGCCTTGGGCAGGCCTTACAGCTTACGCGGCACTGGTGCGGGTGGGGGGGATCTCCTACAAGAACTCGACAGGAGGGAGGAGAGCTGTTCTTATACTTGGGGGAAGCGGAGGCGTCGGGACGTTTGCCGTGCAGATAGCGAAGCATTATCTTCGATGCCACACTACAGTGACATGCAGCTCGTCGAACGCTGAGATGATGGAGAAGATTGGCGCTGACGAGGTAGATTGAGAGGTTGTACCGAAGTCTCGTCTAAGGTCTGCCAGATCGTCAACTACAACGACGTTAACTTCTGGGACAAGATCAGCAAGCCGATCTTAGGGCAGGTAAAGATTGAGGGCCGCAGACAGCCTCCTTGTATGTTCTCAACCCTTCTTCCTGTGCAGGGCAAGGTCGGCTACAACGTCGTCCTCGACTGTGTCGGAGGAGACGATTACTGGCAAGCGTGCCAGCCGCTGCTGGTCGAAGATGGATCATGTGAACGCCTAGAGGGCTTCGTGCTGATCCTGACGTGCAAGTCAGATGTAACCCTAGTGGGAGCGGAGAGATATGGAGGCGAAGAGAAGTCAGAGCCTGTGTGAAGAACTTTTCTTCGCTCACTGCCCTTGTTTTGCAGAGAGTACAGTGTCGGATCTGCAATAACTGCGCAGGTCAGATGGTGGTGTTGGTGGTGGTGATGATGATTATGATGATGGGGATGATGTGGATGGGGATGGGGATGGGGATGGGGATGGGGATGGGGATGGGGATGGGGATGGGGATGGGGATGGGGATGGGGATGGGGATGGGGATGGGGATAACGATAATGGTGGAGATGATGGTGATGATGATGATGATGGTGATGGTGATGTTGAGACGATGAATGATGAGAAGTAATGAATATGAAGATAAATGATGATGGTACAGACGATGATGATGTGGATTGTGATCTTGTACTTCTTACATGCAACATTGAACAGATGCAATCGGGGATCAGGAGAGGTCTTGGACTGATAGGGGCCAGCAAGCGATACACCGTCTTCACGCCATCCATGACTAATAACGAGGACCTCTCAATCCTTGCTTCCCTGATGCGCGAGGGCAAGATGGTGCCTGTTGTCTCAAAGGTATGCAGTTTGCAGCCGTTGTTATCACTGCTGCTAGTCTCTGTTCTTGTGCTGCCGATGAAGATGTGAAAGCGGAGGTGGACGCAGTTGATTCCTTATTGAATCAGAAGTTGAATGTAGTTGATGTCAGAAACCTTAGTGAGGGTGTCGTGCCGAAGGATTGGAATGCTTGCAGTCTGTCTGGGGTCTGTTTTGATGTACTTGCTGCCCTATGATGGTGCAACTGAGATCTTTGTTCTTGAAGACAACCAAGTAACATGTTGCTGTCTATCTCAACAGATGTACAGCATGTATGACATCATCGATGCACACGAGCATCTCGAGACTCATCACGCCGGTAGCTGCCGTTGCTGTTCTGACCTGAGGGTCTAATGTTGCGTGCAGTGGGCAAGTGTGTGATCCAGATACGGAAGACTATCCCCGAGGAAGAGGACGAACAAGGTGAGGACGCCTGAAGCAGAAGCAGCAGCAACTGCTGCTTCTATGTGCTGTTGTGCTGCTGCTGCTGATGCAGCCGCCGCAATGTGGCTGACTTGTCACAGGATCGCAACCCGATGACGACGATGACAAGGAGATCGATTTGGCAAACATGGTGCTAGATAAGACAACGATGAGGCTCGTTCCGAAGAACTCGGTGAAATCCTTTCCTCCTGCTCCCCCTGCTGCTCTTGCTCCTCCTTCTCATGACGACTTGTCTGAAGCATCCTTTCCTTCCTCCTTCCTCCTGCCTGTTTCCTTCTTTCTTGCTCCATCCTCCTTCTCTATCTTCCCTCATTCCTCCTTTCTCCACCTGCATCTTCCTCTCCCTTTCTTTCCCTCTCGCTATGAGTGACGCGAGGAGCAGGCGGGGGGCATGGACGACGCGCTGCGGCAGAAGCAGCTACAGGTCACCTCGAAGCTCAAGCACAAGACCAGAGAGGAGGATCGCGACCCCCCCAAGAAGGCTGTCAAGTTCCAGACCGAAGAAGAGGAGCTGGGCGCAGCAGGCGATACAGAAGGGGGCGCAGCTGGGGAAGGGAGGGGGTTTGCGGGGAAGCTCAGCAGGAAGGAGCAGTACAGGATGGCAGTGCTGCAAGCGCAGACGGAGCTGCTGGAGGTAAAGCTGGCGCGTGCGATAACGTGAACTGACGTTTGCTGCCTGCAGCAGGAGGCGAACGCCAAGGTGAGGCGGGAGGAGGGGGGGGACGATGAGGACGTGACAAGCATGCGACAGAAAACTTCTCGCAGCGATGAAGCAGACGATGTTGTTGTATGAGGACGAGGAACTTGTTGTCTGACTCTGAGCAGGAGGAGCAGGAGGATGGAGGGGGAGACGACGAAAGTCTGCAGGCCATCCGGTACTCAGGAATGCTGAGGAAGAAAAAGGAAGACCATGGGATGTTCGAGGACCCGTACAAGACGGTCAGTGCTGGAGCTCACTTATATCTCTCTCACACTTGCCAGATGTGCATGGCGACGCTCGATGATGGGATCTTGACCCTGAAGATGATTGTCAACGGTGAAGTCACAGACAGTCAGGAGATGTACAACCTCGGTGAGAACAACACTGAATGACGAGCCCTCGCCCGCCCGCTCTCGCTCCCTTCGCTCTTGCTTCCTTCCCGTTCTCTTCCCCCCTTCTATCCGTTTCCGACTACTCCCTCTGCTTGTTTCCATTTTGCCCCTGTCCTTGTTCCTGCCCCTGCCCGTCTCCTTCTTCCCCTCGCTCTCGCTCTCGCTCTCGCTCTCCCTCTCCATTTCTCCCTCCCTCTCTCTCTCTCTGCCTCTTCCTGCTGTGTTTCTTTCCTCTCCACCTTTCTGCATCTCCGGCCCAGTCGTGATGGAATGGCAGGGGACGGATGGAAGCTCATCATTCGCGACGACAAGAAGGATCGCTTCTCCCTCATCCGCAGCAGCGGCTCGTCGTCCGAACCAACTCAAGTGAGGCTGACGAAAGGATGGGAGCAGCCGAGGAGGGGAGGAAGGAGGAGGAAGGAGAGGAGAGGAGAGGAGAGGAGAGGAACGAGAGGGAGAGAGGGAGAGAGGACGAGAGGACGGGATGGCTCCTGACGGTGCGCTAGATCACCCTCAAGGCGGAGAATAGGATGGAAGGAGAGGTGACTTGGCACAGCCTCTTGCTCCTCGCATCTGCCTGCTGACGCGTGCCAGGCATGGATCGAGAAGCTGACGGAGACAGCACGATGGTTCGGGGAATGGTGAGAAGAGACGTGGATGGAGGAGAAAGACATGAAGCAAAAGATTGAGATGATGATGGAGATGATGATGGAGATGATGGAGATGATGATGATGGAGATGATGATGATGGAGATGATGATGATGGAGATGACGATGGTGGTGGTGGTGGTGGTGGTGGTGGTGGTGGTGGTGGTGGTGATGATGATGATGATGATGATTGCGTTTATGGTGGCGGTGCTGAGAAGGTTGTGCAAATTTCTGATAAACCACATCTTTCCAGCATCAGGCAGGTCAATGCTGCGCATGAGCAACAAGAGGAGCAGTCAAGACCTGTACGCCAACCCTTCCTTGCTCCTGCTCCTCCCTCATTCCTTCTCAGCAGACGAAAAAGGGCGAACAATGTGGAATCGGTATGGTCCTCCGGCAGACTAAGGTTCTTTCTGATCTCTTCCTTTCTCTCCTTGCATTTCTCTTCCCCATCTCTACTTAAAATCTTTATTGTTTCTCCTCTCCTCTCCTCTCCTCTCCTCTCCTCTCCTCTCCTCTCCTCTCGGGTCCTTTCTGGAGAAGAGCTTAATAATCCCTCAATCTCCTTGCCTTTGGGAGCCTAGATCCCGAGTGACTAGGAAATCCAAGGAGACATGGGGTATAAGAATAACCTCGGGAGAGCTTCCTTTATCAGAGGCTGGTAACGTCATTTTCTCTGTCAATAAGGCCTCCATCTCCATCTAATAGCCTAGATCTCAAGGTAATCTTGCCCCTTGGACCAACTCGG